GGAGAATAACGCCCAAATTTATGAACTCTATAATAAAGTTCATAGCATAAAGTAAAGAAAGATGACTATTTCTTAATATTTTTCTGAACTGAATGAATTATGACAGAAGTTAGATTACTATCACGATTTTCAAGTAAATTGTCTTGCAGATGCAGTCAAATTTTAGAAATTAATAAAAAAAATAGTATATTTATAACTTTTTAACTGGTCTAAACAGCGAATATGATTAAAAACGGGTCCAGATGTTTGATAAGGATCATCTTCTCTCATTGGAACAAACTTATGTTTATGTCCACTCAAAAAAAGTATAAGAAATGTCATGCTTCACATTGCACTAATTGAAAAGATTGGATTAGTTGCTCAGTATGACCAATCCAAAGATATTCGAAAGTGTGACTATTGTGGCAAGTCAAAACACATTAGAAAAACTTGTTGAAAGTTACATGGAAGACTAATTAGATATTGGGGAGGAGGAAGGGGTGGAACCACGAGAGCTCAAGCAAATTTTGTTGAAGCCAGGGAAGCACGTACCTCACCATCCATTGGAGCTTTTTCTACAGAAGAAATACAAACCTAAAGAGTCTTCTGAGTCAACTTAACTCTTCATCAACTGTTAGCACATCAAATTTGCTAAAATTAGGTATTGCTCATTTTTATCCTATTTTCACTCTTGATACTTAGATCATAGATTCTGAAACTAATAGATACATAATCGATTCTAGTAAATAATTTTTAACATACTCTTCTTATACTGAAGGAAAAAATATCAGTATAGCAGATGGGTTATACACCCTCATGTCTTGGACAGATTTCATTAATTGTACTTCTGCTATTACACTATGTTCAGTTTTATATGTGTCTAGTTTTTCTAATAATATTTTATATATTATCATAATCATTAGAGATCTCAATTGCAAAATTGAATTTTTTCTTGATTATTACATCTTTCAAGATCTTCAAATCAAGAAAAAGAATGGGACTCGTAGACTACAAGATAGCTTATATGTCTTAAATAGAAACCAGAACTTAACTGTGAATCAAGCCACAATTGAGAATAAGGAAGTCAATATAAAAATACTACAATGGCACTGACGATTGGGAGATCCTTCATTTTTTATTTTAGAAAAAGTATATCCTACTTTTTTTAAAAGAACTTTTATGAATTTTTTATTTTATGATGCATGCGAATTTACTGAATATAAAAAAAGCTCTTATAATTTAAGTAATAATAAAAGTACTAATCTTTTTATAACTATTCATTCTGATATGTGGAGACCTACTCAGAATATCTCTCTACCTTATCATAGATATTTTTATTGATATTGTATTAGATTAACATAGATTTATCTGTTAAAAACAAAATGTAATGTATTTTCATGTTTTCACATTCCATAAAATGATATGTACACAGTTTAGTGTTAAAGTTCAGATTATGAGAACTGACAATAGTACAGAATATATGGATAGTGGATTTCGTGTCTATTTAGAGTCAAGTTGGATAATTCATCAGATAACTTGTGCCTACACTAATGAACAAAATGAGGTTGCTGAAAGAAAAAACAAATATATATTAGAGGTAACTCGGTCACTAATATTCACCATGAATCTGCCAAAAAGTTACTAGAGAGATGCAGTTCTCTTATCTGTCTATCTTATTAATAGAACGCCTTTGCAAATACTAAATTTTAAAAGTTCTATGGAAATTTCGTAAGGAAAAAATTCCTATATTATTTCCACAAAAGTGTTTGGATGTGTGCTTTGTTCATGGTACAAATATGGATAAATTATAATCTAAAACTATCATGTGTGTATTTGTTGGATATTTTTCTACCCAAAAATATTACAAGTATTATCATCCATCGTCTAAAAAATATTTTGTAACTGTAGATATTATCTTTAGGGAAACCGAGCCTTACTTCAACTCAAACCCAATACCTTTTCAGGGGGAGAGAGAGAAGGAAGAATTGATTCCCAATTGGGTAAAAATTAACAATCACATTGAGGGAAAAAATTCTATTACGGAAGGTCTTACTTAAGAAGAGAATGTTGGACGTTTAGATAAACCAGACTTGAAAATGTTTAATGAGAGATAAGTCAGAAAAAATCATTATACAGTCTGTCACACATCGAGAATCTTCTTTGGTTTCATAAGATACTGGTGAATTATCTTTCTCTTATAATTTATCGAATAAATCTATTGCTATTAGAAAAGAAAGCGAGAACTTGAACTAAGCACTCTATATCTAATTTTGTTTTCTATGACTCTCTCTTCCTCCTATAGAGTTTTTATCTTATTTATTTCCTCTGTATCTATTCCACAGGATTGGAGAGAAACTTTAAAAGATCCCAAATGAAAAAAAGTCATAAATAAAGAAATGAAATCATTGATAAAAAGTGAAATATAGGAACTTGTTTCATCTCCATAGAGAAAGAAGATGGTACATTGCAAATGAGTGTTCACTATAAAACACAAAGCATACGGATCGATTGAAAGGTACAAAACTAGATTTATTCAAACCTATGAAATTGACTATCAAGAGATATTTGCACCTTTATTATTTTTGTTTTGCGCAACTAATTTTGATTGGGATCTACAACAATTTGATGAAAAAAATACATTACTTTATGGAGACTTAGAGGATGAGGTATACATGAAAATTCTAACTGAATTTGAAGATGAAATGATGCAAGGAAACATTTGCAAATTAAAAAATGTTTTATACGGATTTAAACAGTCCCCAAGAGTATGATTCGAAAAGTTTAGAAGAGTTATGATCTCTTTTGAATATCAACAAAGCAATACTGATCATACTCTGTTTATCAAACATCGTGAGGGTAAGGACATTCTTCTTATTATTTATGTAAATTATAGTGTGGTGATTTAAGATGATATAGATGAGATGACTCGACTGAAGGAACTTTTTGCTTTAAGAATTTGAAATAAAGAATTTAAAAAAATTACAATATTTTTTGAGAATTGAAGTTGGTAGATCTAATAAAAGGATATTCAGTTTTCAAAAAAAGTATATCTTATACTTATTAGAAAAAACTAATAAGATGGGTTGCAAGCTGACAGAATCATTTATTAAGAGTAATCACAAACTACAAGCAGGTAATGGGACATCAGTTGATTTGAAAAGATTGCAGAGACTAGTTAGACGACTTATTCATCTCTCACATATCAAATCTAATATAGCATATGTAGTTAGTCTAGTGAGTCAGTAAATGCATGATTCTCATGAGAGTCATTTACATGTTATCTTCCGCATATGACGATACTGAAGTCTGCGCACCAGAAGATATATGTTTTCTAAACATGGCCATCTTAAAATAGAATCATTTACAGATTGCAATTAGGCTGGGTCTCTAAATAATAGAAGATCAACTAGAAGTTATTGCACACTTGCAGGAGGCAACTTGGTTACATAGAAAAGTAAAAGCAAAGTGCAATTGTTCGCTCTAGTGTTGAGGCAGAATATAAAGCAATGGCCTAAGGAATATGTGAATTACCATGCCTGCAAAAGCTAATGAAGGAATTAAAACTGTTTAAAAATGAGAGTCTATCCTTATTTTATGACAATAAAGTAATCATTAACATTGCTCATAATCTAATTGAACATGATAGAACAAAATACACTAAGATTGATCGACACTTTATAAAAGAGAAAGTGGTTTATGATTCCCTACTCTTATATCATGTATCTTCTGGTTCCCACGTGCTTGATATTTTCACTAAAGGACTATACAATAAATCTCTCCAGAACTTGATTTGCAAATTGGGCATGTGTAATATATTTGCATCAACTTAAGGGGGAGTGTCGATAAAGATTCCATGTTAAGTAAGATATTATGCTAAATAGGATATTTTATTATTTAGAGTTCTAATAATAAAGAAATATCATGTAATTAGAATCCTCCTAAAATAAAGATAACTCATTCTATATATACCTAAATGTAAACACAAAAAACAATAAATAAAATTAGTGGTTTATTTTTTCTCTAAAAATCTTCAGTTACCTTCTAGAGTCTTCGAATTCTAGAGTTCAACAGGCATTCTCTCCACATAATATCCTAATCTGTATGCAAATCATCTTGTCCCCAAGATATTTGGATGTGTATTATTTATCCATATCCACAATCCAACTCAGGGGAAATTAGATAGCATTAAAATATGTTTTTGTAGATTACTCTTCAACTCATACCATTTTCATAAAAAATGTGCTATGTCTCGATGTATGTTACTTTCCATAAGCACAAGCATTTTTTCATCACTCCTTATCTTTAGGGAGAATTACAAAATGGAAGATAAGGATCTTTTACTTGACCTTCTGAAACTAGCTCCTTTATTCTTTGCTCACGTGCATGTAAGTTACTAATAAGTTCTGCAACAGTAAGCTTTGGTAGATGACATAACTTTTCAATTGCTGAAATTTTTGGTTCAAACCTCGCCAATAAGCTTATCAACATTTTTTCAACTACTTTGTTGTTTGAAAATGGCTCTCCAAATAACTTTATTTTGTTTACAATCTCCAACAATTTTCCAGCATACTCTTTAACAGTCTCACCTTCCCTTAGTTTATGCAATCTCAAACTCCCTTTTCAATGTAAGAAGTTTGAATACTTTTCATCCTATCATTGCCTTCATACTCCTTCAACTTTTCCCAAATTTCTTTAGGAGTTTCACAAGTCATCAAATTCAAGAAGATAGTTTCTAACAAGGCTGAGTGCAGACATGTCAGAGCTCTTGGCTTCTTGGCTTTTTGCTCTCTATAATTTTTAAGTTGTGCAATAGTTGGATCACCTCCAAATGGAGTTGGTTCCTCACCACTTTCTACTACTTCTCATAAATTCAAGGCCTTCAAGTAGGCTTTCATTTTGATCATCCACAGTCGATAGTTTCTCCATTAAACAATAGAGGTCTGGTCCCTAAGAAGTTGTTTGCAGACATATTTCCGCTGCTCTCAAGGTGTTTGATTTCTTTTCCTTACAAACACTAAAGATTGCACTCTCACAGGTCTCTCAAGAATGAGAGCTCTAATATTATTTGGTAGATATATTTAAAAAAGAGAAAGTATAAATAGAAACTTAAGTTTTCTTGTTATATTGTATTCAAAATATAAAAAGAGTTTATATAAGAAAGAAGATACATACATATGGTAAACCATACATAAATGTACTTACATGCACCTTAAAATTCATGTACTTATCTAAACATACATGCACCTTAAGATTCATGTACCCATCTAAGCATATGTGCACATTCACAAAATGTGCACTAAGAAAAATCTTAATACATTAATGATTATTTCAAATAATTTTGTGATTTCACTTATTGATCATTCAAATATTAAATAATATTATTTTGAGAATTTCTCATAATTGATTTTGTGACTCAATCAACCCTAGGTGCGATGCCTAAGAACCTTAGGTGTGAAATTTAAATTTTTCTCTATTTCTTAGTAGGCAAATTAACTCTAAATCCTACATTACTTAGCCTACAAGCTGGACTTACTGTCTGCTGCAAGGATTCATCTTTGTTCCCATGTCTCTTGCTTGAAGTCATAGTAGTGAAATTTACGAGGCTTGCGTAGACTCCAACCTATGTAAGAG